ATATATATATAAATTTTCATTTTTGTTGTGTTCCCTCCCCTCCCCTCCCTTCCCTGATAACCAACAAAGAAAGTTTCCTTCCATGTATAAACCTTTCTTTGACTTTTTACAATACTGAACTAATAAAATATTTGGCCTTCTGTGATTGACTTATTTCACTCAGCGTAATGTCCTCCAAGTTCATCCACGTTATGCAGTGTTTTGCAGATTCTACATTATTCTTTAGAGCTGCATAGTTTTCCATTGTGTGTATGGTACCATAGTTTGATTATCCATTCTTCTGTTGATGGGCCTCTAGGTTGTTTCTACCTTTTTGCTATTTTAAATAGTGCTGTGATGAACATGGGTATGCATATATCTCTTCTTGTCATGGCTCTCACTTATTTTGGATATATACCTAATAATTGAACTATTGAATCAAATGGTATTTCTAATTGTAACTTTTTAAGGAATCACCATACTTCTTTCCACAGTGGTTGTATCATTTGACAGTCCCACCAGCAGTGTTTGAGAGTCCCAGCCTCTCCACATCCTCACCATGATTTGTTATTTTCTGTCTTGTTGAACTTTGCTGTTAGTGCTGGGGCTGTATAATATCTCATTGTTTTCCATCTCCCTAATGGCTAATGATCATGAATGTTTCTTCATATGTTTGTTGGCCACCTGAATATCCTCTTTGGTGAAGTGTGTCTATTCATGTCTTCACCCCATTTTTTAATTGGATTGTTTGTCTTTTTGTTGTTGAGATATTGGAGTTTTCTATAAATTTTAAAGATAAGTCCCTTGGTTGGATATGTTGTTGCCGAATATTTTTTCCCAATATACAGGTTCTCTTTTTACTCCTTTGGATAAATCGTTCAAAGCACATAAAATTTAAATTTTAGAAGTTTCCATTCATCTACTTTATCTTCTGCTGTTTGTGCATTTTGGGTTATGCTTGACGGTCTATTTATGCCATAAATTAGGGCCCCCTCAGTACAAACAACAAATATGAACCCCTTTGTAAATACAATACTGAGTTGTTAATGAAAGCAAACATGGGTATAGGGATGGATAGATGGGTGAAC